TATTATTATTATTATTATTATTATTATTATTATTATTATTATTATTATTATTAGTCTCAAATGGTGTAGGGTTTCCTGCCTGAGCAGGGGTTGGACTAGATGACCTCCGAGGTCCCTTCCAACTTTATTATTACTATTATTATTATTACTATTATTATTATTATTATTTAGTCTCAAATGGTGTAGGGTTTCCTGCCTGAGCAGGGGTTGGACTAGATGACCTCCGAGGTCCCTTCCAACTTTATTATTATTATTATTATCATTATTATTATCATTATTATTATTATTATTATTATTATTATTATTATTATTATTATTATTATTATTATTATTATTATTATTATTAGTCTGAAATGGTGTAGGGTTTCCTGCCTGAGCAGGGGTTGGACTAGATGACCTTCAAGGTCCGTTCCAACTTTATTTATTATTATTATTATTGTTGTTGTTGTTGTTGTTGTTGTTGTTAGTCTGAAATGGTGTAGGGTTTCCTGCCTGAGCAGGGGTTGGGCTAGATGACATCCAAGGTCCCTTCCAACTTTATTATTATTATTATTATTATTATTATTATTATTATTATTATTATTATTATTATTATTATTATTATTATTATTATTTAGTCTGAAATGGTGTGGGGTTTCCTGCCTGAGCAGGGGTTGGGCTAGATGACCTCCAAAGTCCCTTCCAACATTATTATTATTGTTGTTGTTGTTGTTGAATGTGCGAATGGGACATGCAACGCAAGCAACTTTATATATATATATATAATTCATTAATTTTCCAACTTTACATTTGAGTATTTAAAAAGCAGCGTGGTGACCAGGTTAGTCAACAGTTCAATAACCAAATCTTTAGTGCAAATCTCAGGTTACAACATCAGATATTTCTTCTCTTTTCCCCTTAACAATGACTGTCTCGTATTCAAGTTAGTACATTTCTAATTACTTCAACTCAATAAAAATGCCATTTTTACGTATAGATTTTTAGCTTATACCTGTCTTAATTACATTCAATCTTCATGAACGGTCCCTATCCTGTTATTAATTTTACATCATTTTTAGTTTCTCATCAATATTTTTAGTTTCTCATCAATATTCCAATTCCAATATCCCTAATTTTTAGACTTCGGGTCACCAAGATTTTTCCCTTATCTCACTTCACAACAAACTATAATATCCAAAACACACATTTTATCTCTTTGAACGCGACCTTGTTCTATTTCCTAAGAGTTATCTATTTCCCACCATATTAAATCATCGACTTAATAATACAATATCCCCTACACAAGCAACTTTGGACTCCAAGCATCCATCCAGAGGGAAGAAACTGGCGTGTCCCCAATTGACCAGGCTGCTTTTTCTAATTTTTTTTCCCAACTCAGGGAACACCACACCCTCCTGGGTTAATGGTTATCCAGACAAACAAGCTGGCTGGACTTTTACCTGGCCAAAATAACCCCAAAGGAGATTACGATACACAGTGGGGGAGGAAGCAAATAAATCAATTAAAAAATAAATACATTTTAAACCTTCATTTTTTCCCCTCCCCTCTCTTTTAATTCTCTCCTCCTAACCTGGTTAAATTAGCCTTAATTTATGTTGGCTCTGCTGGGGAGAAAAATCAGGTTGTATTTAGAAGTGCAAAAATCTTGGTTTATAGCAGCCCTGGGAGAGGACGACTCGTGGACTGCAACTCCCAGAATTCCCCAGCCAGCCATGGCTGGCTAGGGAATTCTGGGAGCTGAAGTCCACCAGTCTTCAAAGTTGTCAAGCTTTGCAATCAGCTACATGTCTGAAAAAGAATTAAGAATGAAGGCAGGCATCTGGCTCAGAGACGGTGGAAGTTCATTTTCCACTCCAGCTAGTCATCATTTAGTGACCGACGTTAGAACAGCCCTGAAACAAGCGGCCGTTTTTTCACCCTTAAGACCGCCGCGGCGTCCCTGTGCTCACCTGGTCAACAACTCAGACATTTGGCAACCGACTCATTTTTTTATTTTATAAAGTTGGAATGGACCTTGGAGGTCATCTAGTCCAACCCCCTGCTCAGGCAGGAAACCCTACACTATTTCAGACTACTAATATTAATAATAATAATAATAATAATAATATAATAATAATAATAATAACAACAACAACAACAACAACAACAATAAAGTTGGAAGGGATCTTGGAGGTCATCTAGTCCAACCCCTGCTCAGGCAGGAAACCCTATACTATTTCATATTTACGACGGTCACAGCGTTCTCTGGGGGTCACATGACACACACCCCCTTTGGCGACCTCCTGACAAGCAAGGGGAAGCCGGATTCGCTTAACGACCGTGCTCCTAACTTAACAACTGCAGTGTTTCACTTAACAAGACAGGTCATAAAGCGGGGCCAAAACTCTCTTTGCAACTGTCTTGTTTAGCAAGCTCCGGCTCAGCTGTAGGTCACAAGCCGAGGTCAGCCCTAAAGCCGTGCAAGGCACGAAGGCTCTATTTTGTCAGCAACTCCCAGGGATTTTGGCTGGGGTCTCATCCAGCCCGAAACTTGCAAAAGTTGAGAAAAAAAGAGAATTTCACGCCAGGGTGACTGGAGGAGTTCCACGGCTCGCCGAATCAAGCCCAGTTTTGGCGGGGCGGCGCATTCCGACGACCCCAGGTCCCGAAACGGGACGGATCCGTGCAAGCGTGTTCGTGTGAACGCAGCGCGTTCGAAGCGCTTCGCGGGGACCCGGAGGCGCCGCCCCGCTGCAACCGGGGTCTCTACTCGGAAGTAAGCCCCACTCCCGGTCCTTCGCAGGCCACCCCACTCCCGACCCTTCGCAGGCCACCCCCGACCCTCGCCCCAACATTTGGGAGGGAAAGAGGCACGGCGAGGCCATCCGATCGAGCCCAGCTCCGGCCCACGGGCGGGGGAGGGGGCGTGGCCGTGCCAATGCAGGTAAATCGATGCAAACGCGAGGAAAGACAGGCGAATGCACGTGTATGCAGGCAAACACGAGGAAATGCACGCGAAGAGGAGAGAGGATTTGTAGATCCGGATTTCTGGGCTGGGGGTGGTCGACTGCTTTCTCGCAGGCTTTTGGGCGCTGAGGGTCGCGGACGCCCCACCCGCGGGAAAAACTCTGGGGTGGGGGTGGGGGTGGGGGTGCCTAGCTGGGTCATCTGGAACGTCTGCAAGGGAACCACCAGGTTCAGAGAACACCAGGGACCCCAAAGTCTTCCTCCTCCTCCTCCCCCCAAACCTACCTACCTTCTAGCACTGATAATGTTCCCTAGTCGGGTCCTGAAACGTCTGCCAGAAGACCCCTCCCCCTAAAGCTCAGAAAGCACGGAAGACCCCCAGTCCTCCTCCCCCTCCTCCCCCCAAACCTCCCTCCCTTCTAGCACTGATAATGTTCCCTAGTCAGGTGATGAAACGTCTGCCTGAAGACCCCCCACCCCCAAGCTCAGAGAGCCCCCAGACCCCAGAGTCCACCCCTTCCCTCTCCCCCTCCCCCTTCAA